AGGCCTTCGTTGCCTAATATTATCCTTCTGACCTCCATCAACAAACAACAGTCTTTCTGACCCCGGTTTCCTGCCGACTACGGTCTCCTGCCGACTATGGTCATTCCTACAAAACAAACATGTATATGTAACTCCTACCATGTAATGCAATCTATATGATGTACATTCGCTACATCAATCCAAGGCCTTCTCCCAAGGAAGGGCCTCATTTGTAATCGACTGCAAATACTAGTGGATTCATTCAAACTGGGCCAGGCCCCATAGTTTTTCCCCCTTTTTAGGGGTTTTCCACGTAAAAACTTTGGTGTCTCTTATGAATGCTACACCCTCTCACTTATCTGTTTGTGTGCTGGATCTTTGTACAATGCTAAGACGTTAAACTAAATATTTCTCTACCGTCGCGAATACTCCAGGACGCAACAGTATTAAAAAGCTATGTGGAAAGCACTAAAAAAGTTATCCCAAATAAAATCTTAATTAAATATTTGAGCTAACATTGCATAAACAACATTGCTTTAATTAAGCCAACATGCCTAATATATATTAATTTTTTGATTCATTATCACCATTAATGTTAATATGATAAAAAAAATTCTCTTTGATGTAAGGAAAATGCAAAAAGTATTTGAAAAATTGGCCTTTTCTTACGAAAATATAAAATCATTTTGACTTTTCAAAAGGAAAACAGAACTTAAAAAAAAAAAGTGAAATGTTTTTTATTCTATAAAAATGTCTCCTTGTAGAATATTAAATTTACTTTTTACTTCTTCTTTTTTTTTTTTACTTAGGGATAAAATGTAAAATGAGTATTTACAGGAAATGTTAGAGTAGGTCCAGTGGCATATAAGATTAGAGATAGCCACCTTAGATGGTTTCATTAAATAAAATGTTAGCCTTTTGATGACCGTGTTAGGAGAGTAGATTTATTAGATCTGACTTACGTTAAGAAATATAGAGATATATATAAAAATATTTGATTACAAAGCATCAACAATAATATTTTTTATTAAATTTAAATAAAAATTTGTCTCTTAATATGACAAAAAATGGAAAAAAATTGCTTCAATTTACATTATATTCATTAAGTGGCAATTTAATGCCTCTCTCTTTCAAATTAAATGACCTATCTAATTTATTTCCCAAAAAAGGAAAAAATTGCTCTTCTCTCTCTAATTAAGGAGATCTGCAAAATTTCTCTTCCCAATAGAAATTAAGCGGCAAATTTTCCCCTTTTAGAGAGCCCACTTTCCCGAGTTTTTATTTGGTCCGGTGCAAGGACCTAGAGGAAGGTTCGGTTTTGCCTAAAAAAGTGCAAATACCGAGTTTTTTGAAAAATACCGAGTTTTCAAAAACTCGGTATTTGCACTTTTTGACCTATTTTTGCCTAAAATAGAACCTTCCTCTACATACAGTGAAAGGACCTAATAATTGCTCCACTTTCCCCTCTTTAAACTAGAGGTAGAAATGATATAATTAACCATTGACTTACTAAAAATTATAAGAGAAATTATCTATATAGTATTCAAAATTATATCTTAAAAATATTTAACATATAAATTTTATTCTTTATATTTATGCTAAAAATTTACTTTAAAAAATAGTAATAAAGCTATCTCAAACTTGGATGAAGTTCGGGCGCGGGCATGCGCAAAAGGATTTCGAATGTGAGAAAGAGGTCGGACGCGAAATACATAACGGAGCTTGAATGCTGCTCGACTCATTTGCACCCCTAAGTGTTATAACTATCATAATCACACTTTATTGTATTAACCACCATTAGTTGCTAAAACACACTCTATTATATCTATCATTGTCAAACCATATGTGGATCATATTCAACCATGTTAGAATATCACTACAATTTAATCATATTCATATTCTAACCATATTTGAATCTTGCTCGAAAATGATTAATTTGAATCAGATTTGAACATGGTTTGTGCGTTAACAATGTATATCATGATGGGTTTGAAAATCACTTGATCTATTTTGAGTTAGTGCAATATAAAAATTTTTATAGACAACACTAATCTTAAAGTAAATATAATGTTTTTCAAGCCTATCCACACACAAATTACATTAAAACATACTTTTTTTTTTCAGAATACTAAAACTAGATATGCATTAAAGTCTTCTAAGAATACATGCTTTTAAGAATTGCTAATAAATTTCTGATTTTAAAAGAATCAGGCAAGTAAGTATCATGGTATTATTGATCATGCATGCATACATGTTTATAGAAGCCATGCATGAATGCCTACATGCATTTTGTACTACATTATAAGCCATGCATGCATTCTTTATGACCATATTTTTAATGCCTTTCATGCTCCTTACATGCAAAATTAAAAAAAGAAAAAAAAAAGAAGAAAAATATACTATTTTCTTATATATATTAGCATGTTATCATTCCTTCAATTAACTTCATTGCATGAATGGAAATTTCAAATACTTCTTGCAATGCAAAACCAGTAGAGATATTGGAGTTAACTAAAAATTTGTGAGATTCTTTATTAGTTTTGTTTTAAATAATTCAAATTTGAATGCAATATTTTATTTGGTTATACCATTTTAGAATAATATATTCAATTTCTTATTCAAATTTGAAAGTAACCCTTGTTTAATTATTAATGTTATTTTCATTGTTAGTGACAAAGAAGTAGATTTAATCTGGTCAACAAAACAACCAATAATTAATTGAATACTAAATATCAGTTATTTTATGCATTTATTTTTCTAGGGAAAATAATAAAATTGGTCCACTAACTTTCTTTTGAAGATTCAAATAATATCTGACTACATAAAAGAGCTAATTTGATCCCTTAACTCTTTAAATAGTAAGGAGCCAAATGGGATCATTTAGAACCCTATTTTCAAAGTCAATGGTTAAAAATGAGATTTTTAAATAGCGGGGGACCATTCTGATCCATCATAAAGAGTTAGAGGATTATTTTGATCCTTATCTCTATTTTTCTACTACCTATGTAAATGACAATCAACATTAATGCATCATTTTGTCCTATTTTATTTTAACCATCATTTTAGTTTCTTTACCTAATTTGTGCTTGATTGTTTTTCCCCTTAATTTGCTTTGACTTTTGAAATCAAAATTGATTGTTTTTAAATGCTAATTAATTAGCCTTGGCTTCTTTGTTTCTTTGTTCTTCCTTGTTTTTGTGAAGGAAGGTAGGAAATAGCAAAAGAAGAAGAGAAAATATAGCATATAAAGTTAAATAAAAGCACATTTATTTTAGAATGAGACACTTAGGCTTTGTATGAGACAACTTTTTTTTTGTAATTTTCTAAAACAAATTTTTAGTACAAAATTTCTTGAATTATATATTTTTGTACTAAAAAGACGTTTTAGAAAGTAGTAAAAATGCTGTCCCAAACTAAGCCTTATGCTTCATTTGGGACAGCTTTTTATCTCTTTACTTTTCAGGTCACGAACACCGTTTTGATTTGGTCAATGTTTTTTCATTGATTTCAATAAATTTTGATTCTAAGAAGTTGCTTTCTGTAACAGCTTTTAAAAAACTTATTTTCTACAACAACTTTAAACAAAATTACTTTCTCCAAAGCAGCTTTTCAACCACTTCTTTAAAAAGTTATAGTCATCCCAAACGGACCCTTCGTTATATCAATCGGGTTATCAAAAAAATAAAAATAAAAACTTTGTTATCCTTAACATTACATTGAAATGAGATGAGTATTATAAATAATATAGCTTATGTGTTGATAATGGCTATAACAATCAATTAAAGTGGAAGTGGGGTTGGGGTAGTTTGAGCTACAGTTCTTCTGATCAATGGGAAATTCACCCTCTATGTGTCACTCTCTGGAATCACGGCAGAAATGGCCATTTCTGGTTTATATCTTTCTAATATTATCTCTAAATACATACATTTGCTTGTTTTGGCTTAATTTACAGCAGGAATTACAGCAATGGATGGCTTTTTAGAACAATTTTTCTATGTGAGAAAGCACCTTTTTCACAAGAACAACTTCTGCAAGTATGGAAAGCAAATCATAAAGTTGCAAGTAAGTTGTTTTTACTCCATGCTTTCATAATGAACATTTTGACTGAGTTAATTTCTTTTGTTTTTGCATAGTTTTTACTACTCTTCATGTCTGAAATTTGTCCAGCAAATTTATTGAAGCCATCAACAGCTTTCTTTGGCTTGATGCAGCAAAAGTCATGTTCAGCTCAAACATTGTTAGCAGCTTTTTAATGGGCCTCCCGAACTTTCAATAGCCTTCCTCAGCTTGAGGTTAGCCATAGCTGAGACATCGGCGACACTCATCAAACATGACAAGCCTGATGGAGGAGTAGACATTATTAAGAAGATGATGGAAGTGGATGCAATGCCTTACAATAATTCACTGGCACCATTGCTACTCTATCTATCAAGAGACATTGATAATGATATACATATAGCATTTCTGGCAAAGAAAAGCATATTACTCAAAAGACAAAAATCCTATTGAGAATTTCAATGGTTAAACCACCGGAAAAGAGATGCATAAACATTTTTTTGCATCATTTTAGTAATAAGTGTCTACAAAACATCAAAATTTGTTGTAGAATGAAGAAAAAGTTGCTCTAAGAAAGTATTTTGTTAGGATGGTAATTTTATCTCATAATCTGAATAATTACACATTTTACATGATATTTTTTCAAATTTTTCATATAAATGTTGGAGTTTCCTCAAATTTGTTCATGTCTTTGACTGTCGTGCGTCTTGTAGATATATGGTGGGGGTCCAACGGGGATGCGCCCTTGACAGGGTTCGACCTATCAAGACTTCAAATAATCAAATTCCAATACATTACAAAAGAACTATTTTCAATTCTTCCTTTCAAATCCTTCTCGTAAATGCTCATAAGATTACCATCCAAGCAACAAAGAGCTTATAAACTATACTATCATTAGAACATTGAAAAAAAAAAAAAAAACTTTATTCTATTATAGTCATTTTCAATGATCAACTATTACAATTCTAAGAGCAAGCAATTGTAGAGTAAATAGGCTTGAGATCAAACATTATATCCCAAGCATATTTGAATACAATAGGTGCCTCTGTGAACACAGGATCTTCATTGTTCACAGAACACTGATAATCATCTATTTTTCTGAATTTGGTAGGATCTATTGATACCACTGTGTTAAATCCATTGCAATCTAGATGTATATTGTATTGGGTGCAGATGCAGGTGTTGTTTATCACCACTTCATACTCTGCCTTTCCCTTCACAATTTCTCCAGTTGATTTCTGCTCAACTTCTATGTCTGATAATCCGCAATAACCCAAAGCTGATTTCATCATTAAGGCTTCGTTTGGGACGACTTTTTTAATGCTTCTTGAAGTAGCTTTTAGTGCAAAAATTTTAATTTTTATACTAAACATCTGCTTTAAGAAGTAGTTAGAAAGCCGTCCCAAATGAAGCCTCAATTTATTAAAAAAAAATAATGTGAGGCTTCAGAAATTGTCAAAAATTATATAGTCTTGAAATCTGCAGATTTTGAAAAAAAAATTTAATATAAAGAAACTTTAGTTTATGAAAATATTTGAGAAAATATTGAATTACCATCTTAATTTGCATAAATATTTAATTTTTATCTGATTTCTTATGTAATGATTTATAATATTAACCTGCGAAAACACTACTGATATATAAAAAAATAAGAAAAATATATTTTTAAATTACACACAAACATGAATAAAGTATAATTTTATTTAAAAAAAAAGGGAAATAGAGAGTGACCTTGAGAAAGGTAAAGAAGAGTGAGAGAAGCTAAGAAGAGCTTAGCAATGGCGGCCATTGCTTCCTTGAAGAGTTCTATGGTATGAAGCTTTGCAAGAGAAGGCCTTTATATAGAGAGAGATATTACAAAGATATTATCGTAAATGGAGAAAATTATGACTATTTAATTATCCGTAATTATACAATAAATAGCATATCTTTATTATTAATGAAAGTTGGACTCTTTCACCTCAAAGGTGGTCATGAAACATTGCTTTAGGCATTTCCAAAGATTAAAAAGGCTTTGTGCATGCATATAATTAAATATTTGATTTAAGCTTCATTTGGGACAACTTTCCTGCTGTTTTCTAAATCAGATTTTTAATACAAAATTTTGTAGTTCGAGAAATTTTTGTATTAAAAAGCTGTTTTAGAAAGCACTAAAAAAATTATCCCGAACAAAACTTTAATTAAATATTTGAGCTAACATTGCATAAACAACATTGCTTTAATTAAGCCAACATGCTTAATATACAATAATGTAGTGATTCATCATCAACATTAATGTTATTATGATAATAAAATTCTCTTGAATGTTAAGAAAATGCAAAAAAGTATTTGAGAAATTAGCTTTTCCTTAAGAAAGTATAAAATCATTTTGAGTTTTCTCAAGAAAAAAAAAAAAAACACAATTTTTTTAAAAAATTGTGAAATGTTTTTTATTCTATAAAATTGTCAAAAAATATACGTAAAAGTCTAGAGTAGGTCCAATGGCTGAAAAGATTAGAGATAGGCATCTTAGATGATTTCATTAAATAAAACGTCGGCCTTTCGATGACCGAGTTAAGAGAGTAGTTTTATTAGATCCGGCCTATGTTAAGAAATGTAGATATATACGTAAAAATACTTGATTATAAAGCATTAGAAATAATAAATTTTATTAGATTTATATAAAAAATGTCTCTAAATATGACAAAACAATAAAAAAGGAAAAAATTGCTCTAATTTACATTCTATTCATTAAGTAAAATTTTACTGCCTCTCTCTCTCTATCTCTTTCAAATTAAATGACCAATCTAATTTATTTCCAAAAAAAGGGAAAAAATGCTCTTCTCTCTCTCTAATTAAGGAGATCTGCAAAATTTCTGTTCCCAATAGAAACTAAGCGGCAACTTTTCCACTTTTAGAGAGCCCACTTTCCCCTCTTTATACTAGAGGTAGAAATGATATAATTAATCATTGACTTGCTAAAAATTATAAGAGAAATTATCTATGTAGTATGCAAAATTATGTTATGTAAAGAGTAAAATTTAAATATTAAATATATAAATGATATTGTTTGAGTGCTATATATGTAAACCCCTCTACATTATATTGAGATGAAATTAAAATTTATTAAATTTATTTTGAGATTAATAAGAATCCTAAGATTTATCCAAACCAATTTTTTTCCACTATAAAGAAGCTCATTTTCCGGTTCCTCCGCATCTTACGAAAGAACGAAAAAAGGCATAAAAAGACATAATTAGCAAGTGATATTACTAAGAGAATTATAATTCATCTTCTAACAACAATTTGATGCCCAATATCTCTTAACCACCGACATTTGTCGCCCATCTTCCTTTTATTTTACATATTTGAGCAAATAATCTTTTCTTTGTTTTTTCTCTTTTAATTGTTCTTTATTTTATATTCTATATTTTAATGATTTTTAATTGTTAATAAGAATTTAATTATGGTGATATAGAACGAGTTAAGTTAATTTCAATAAAAATATTTAAATTTATAAAAAAGGACTAATTATTTGATATTTATAAAAATAGTATTTCACAAAGAAAGTGAAGTTAGTGAAAATTAGAATAAAAGAAATTCTAAGTAACATGCAAATGGACAACAATATGTATTAGTCCATTGTGAAAGCCAAACATTTCTCTGAGTTTCATGGTCACCGTATAGGGAAAATTATTATGTGCGGTCATGGAACAGCGTCCTGAGACGAATGAGAACATATCACGTCATTTTTTTTTCTGTATACTGCTCGATACTGAGTGAAGTAGCGCGTTCCAATTCGTCTTTGAACCGTTTAGTGCCCGCACAGAATAATTTTTCCCATTTATGATATGGGATTCAAACCCCATTTAGACAAAACCACCTTTTTTTTTCCAAGAGAAGTTTCACATATAATTCAAGAAGCTAGCAAAAAAAAAAAAAAAACTCTAAATCCTAAAAAGGAAAACTGACTGTAAACAAATAAGATTTTGTATTTGCCCCTTGCATGTAGGAACTCAACACATATCTCTAAAATTACTAGTAAAATTGACATCCCCCTCTCAGTCGATTCACTTACTAGTAACAAATTCTGCTTTACTTGGTGCGACCCTCCGCAATGTCATCCCTATTACTCTTAAAGATAAAGGATGTTAAATTGAAAGTTATCTATGATTGGAAACCCACTCCTTGCCCGAGCTGCTCATTTTTCTTCATGCCCATCACCTTTGTATAAAAAAATCCCACTCTCCTCCCCTTGCTCCCCACCATCATGGTTGTAACAGAAGTTGTTCGTTCCATAGACATTAGCAAAAGAAATCCAAGCCTCACTCCCGCACTGCTCCATTGCCTTCAACCATCCCCTATGGTTGCCACCAAGGGTGGATCCAACTTTTTTTTTTTTTTGAAGGGTGGACAAACTCAATACATTCATTTGGCTGTGTTGGCGTGTTTGCTGTCGCATTAGTGAAGAGGAGGAATGAAGGCGTCAACGACTCAAGCGGGAGTTGGGTAAATGCTTTAGATTAGGGCAAAAAAAATTTAATTTAAGGGGGGCAAAAGGTCAAAACTACCCTCGCCATATTCATTTTTACAATTTGAGGGTGGTCAATTGCCCACCCCGGAGGCTACGTGGTTCCGCCCAAGATTGCTGCCCCTCCACTACCAAAACACGCTCCTAATTTTCCTCAAACTATTACTCCCGTCTCTAACCTTGACTCCCCTGATAACCCCATCATATGCTCCCTATGGAATATTAGGGGCTTCAATGGAGCATATAGAGTTTTTCATTGCAAAAACTTATCTCCTCTGTGCAGCTTGAAAATTTCTATATTCTGGAAGCTCATATTTCTACCTGCTCTTTCATGAACCCTTCTTTGATACCTCACAGTAACTCTTCCTTTTGAAAGGTAATTGCACAACTTCTCATATAACAATCTCAGTATAATCCAGACAAAATGGAAGAGCTCTAATACCAACTCTAACACCATTACCATTGAGAAGCAAGTTATTCATGGTATTCTCTAACTTGGAGCTCACTTCTCTACCTGATTATCTATTGTATATACTGAAAATTCTCATTCTAAGAGATTTTAACTCTGGTCTTCTATCTTAAGTTTTGTCAGTTTCAAAGAGGTGGGTTATTGGTTGATTGCTAGTGATTTCAATTACTGCAGGCATCAAAATGAGAAAGCTGTGGGTATTCCCCCCTTTTCCCCCAAACAAGCTCTCTGAATTCAGGCAAATTATTGCATCCGGTCACCGGACGGGGAGATAGGTTCGGATATTAATAAAATATTACTTTAAATTACGCACAGGTAAAGCGCAGGCAAAGCGCAATCAAAGCGCAAGTCAAAAGCGCAGTCAAAGCGCAGTCAAAGCGTAAGTCAAAAGCGCAGGTGACGTGGCAAGTTTTTATTGGATGTCCGAACCTATCCTCTGCGTCCGGTGACCGGATGCAATAATTTGCCCTGAATTCAATGATTGCATTTTCCAGGTTGGTATGTGATAGTAAATAAAAGAAAATACATAATTTTGCTGCAGAAATCAACAAAACCAGCAAGCTCCCAAACAATTTTTGAGATAAAAATAGAGAAATAATGGTAGGAAAACTTTTAATTTGATGGTTGATGAAAGAAAATAGTAAGATATAGTTGGATCTTTAATTGGAGAGGAAGATCCTGCTCTCCCAATCTCTAGCCAGAGACTAGAGCCCAAGCAAAACTAGAAGAACACCAAATTCAACAAAAACTATCATAACCCTAACACTAGAATAAAAAATACTACTTAAAGCAAAAGTAAACAACAATTCTCTTAACAGCTCCTAGAATTTGAATTTTTCCTCCCAAATCTTTCTTAATTAAAGCCATAAAACCCCAATTTTTCTTCCCAAATTTTATCAAAGATTTGGAAACTACAAATGGTGTTCTCCCTTCTTACAGAAACATTGCTAGTAAGGCAGTATTTTTTTTTTTCAAAGGCACCTTCTACACCCATCCTACTGGTCCATTGGATAGAGCCCCCTTCCTCCTCATCAACTAGCAAACCTTACAAACCCTAAAAATGCATCCCCTACACTGGATGACTACACTTTAGAATTTTATACCTACTCCTTAGACTATTATTGATAAGGATCTTTGTGCTGCTATCAAATATTTCTTCCTCACCAACACGTTGCCAAGTTCATAAAAACAACGACCATCACTCTTATACCAAAATCAGCCAATATTTCCAATATTTCTGATTCCAAAATTCATATAATTTTTATTTGTTAGACCCAATCTGATGGGTGATCCCTCACTTGTAATCAATTTTTTGGTTTAGGGCAAAAAGCCATGCTCTCACTTGTGATCAATATTTTGGTTTAATACAGAGAGCTATGCACTCAAAGATCATAATATCAAGATGGATTTGAAGTAGTGATTAAGGTTTCATTTGAGATGACTTTCTTATTGCTTCTTAAAGCAACTTTTTCATACAAAAATTAAGCTTTCTTATTGCTTCTTAAAGAAGCTTTTTAGTATAAAAATTAAAATTTTTTATAAAAAAGCTGTTTTGAAAAGCATTAAAAAAGCAGTCCCAAATGAAGCCTAAGTTGCCTTTCATGCATCTAGACATGTAAGTAATCTCTCTACCAATATAAGTATGGCGTGAAAACGGTGCTCAACATTCTCTAACATTCGGAATTTTTTTGGGCCATGATAGAATATGATAAATAAACCATCTTCTTCTTAACTCTACACAGACCTATCATTTTCAAATATAAATAAACATCAAAGTATCAAACCAATTCTTCACCCAACTTAAAAAGCGATTAATTCCCATTATCCATAGATACAGACAAAGATCAAACAACAAACATCCAGATCTTCAAACAGGTGAAATGCTAAATGATGCTAAAAGGGTTTACAAATCATAGACCTGCTTACCAGTAAACTTGACGGTAATCGGACTGACATTCTTCCCGATGTTGCGGTTATTGACGCCGACGCCCTGTCTTCCTGGATTCACCTTCTCCGGGTAAACCCCATCCTTGGGATGAAGATACTGTACCTCGCCGTTGGGAAAGACGCGATAGAACCTGTAATTGATCTTGTATTTGGATCGAAGGCGGGTACCTAGAGCAAGGCACTGTTCCTTTCTGGCGAGCTTGAGGAGATTCGGGCCCTGGCGCATGATAGCGGCGCCTCCGGTGGGCATCTCGAAGATCTGTTCCTTGGGGGATTCCCATGTTATGACGTAGAACTCTTCGATCTGGGCTTTGCGGAGAAGGCCGCCGGTGCTGCCGCCGAAGATCGGTGAAGGGGTGTTAGGATCGAGGTCTGGAGGGGTGAAGCCAGCGGGGGCGGGGGCTGGGGCGGGGGGAGAGTCGGGGCTGGAGGCGGCGGGAGCGTCGGCGGAGGAGGCGCGGGGGGGTTTTGCAATTCTATTATAAAATTTCAAGTTCTCTATTTTCAATATAATTTTTTTATAAGTAGAATAGTATATATTTTGCATTAAAAAAATAGGATATTTTTATGAGAATATATCTAAAAATATGTAAAATTACTATGTTCATATATAAAAGTGATTATGCATGTTAGGAGTCAATATTTGACACGACACGAAAATCTGACCCGAACCCGACCCAGAATTTTCAGGTTAGACCCGACCCTTTTTCAAAACGGGTCGGGTTCGGGTTGACCCGACGGGTTGATGGGGTCAACCCGAAAACTAGTTTAACTATCAGCCCGGCTGCCCATGTAGCTGCCCTAGATTTTCCACGAAGCTACCCGACGCTGCCCGCCCCCTGCCCATGCCCTCCCAGCACGCTACCACGCGAAGAGGATGCCCACGCGCCCGCGCGGTTGCCCGAACGCCCTGCCCGCGTGCCCGTGATGCTGCCCACCCTGCACCCGCCCACACAGCCTCGCCAATCCGTGCCCAAGTCCGCGCCCGCGTCCGAGCCAGATTCACACGTTGGGTCGGGTCTGGGTTCGAATTTCCAACCCGTTTTCTTACCCGGGTCAGGTTAGGGTCGATCCGTTTGAACCCGAATCAGTTCCGGGTTTGACCTAAACCCGACCAGTGACCCGAAATTAACACCCCTAATGCATGTAGATGACTATCTTGATTTGAATATGAAGATAATCAATACTTAGGCTTCATTTGGGACAACATTCTTATTTTTTTTTAAAGTAATTTTCTAGTACAAAAATTTCTTCACCAATAAATTTTTGTATTAGAAAGCTTTTTAAAAAGCAATAAAAAAATTATCCAAAACGAAGCTTTAATGAAATAACTTACAATTTTCTTTTCAGATTTCCTATCTTGAAACAACCTGCACTGCTTTCATTATGTTATATAACATGAAATTATTGTTCTCACATCAAAAGATCAACTTTATAAGCCAATTCACATATAAAATTCTAGATGTGATGCACTAACAGAAAAACATTAGCATATGGAGCAGTAGAGCTAACCTCTGCTTCACTAATCCTATCAAGTTTCCAACACTGTCCATAATTGCTTAAGAAACTCCAATAATGTCTCAGATCTGCACCATTTCAAAGTTATGCTTTGTTTGTGATAGTTTTTTACAACTTTTTAAAGCGACTTTTTAGCCGTATTAAAAAGACGCTTTAAAAAGCAGTAAAAAAACCGTCTCAAACAAAACCTTAGTCAAAATTGTTTGAAGATGAGGAACTTATGATTTTCACCTCTGAGCAACTTCTTACCAGACAGCAGCTTCATAGTTCAAAAGTGAAAAAAGTATAAGCAAAAAGAGTTAGATTCCTGAACCAATTGTTCAAACATCAACCCCTTGCTCACAATAAATAGTTCTCAACACAGAATAAAGCAGATTAATCAACAACTTAACCACAAATGATAAAATCATCAATGTTCAGTATGTTATTAAGCTTAAAATATCATATAGCGATACAATTCAGAAAACAAAAGACAAAAATGTTTGGACCAATCAAGTCTATATCCTCCAATCTGGAAGGAGTTAAAAATGTTACAAACTGAATAGTCTCACAGGACAAAAGAATAGTCTTATTTCAGAAGTCAGAACAGGACAAAAGTTTGCTTGTAAACTTCCAACACTCATTGCTTCTCAAGAAAATACTTCACATTTTGCAGCCATGTTAGGTACTCTCTGTCATCTTTACTTATCAAGTATTTGTATAAGAAATTGGTGGTCTCAGTAGAGATGCCTCTAATTTCAAGATAGTTATGGAATGCTTTCTGGAGGTTTTCATCAAGATCACTGTCATGCAAGGAGAAAGAAGAAAGTGCTTTTCATGCAGAACATGCATGGACTAAAAAAAATTGAGGAGTTAATAATCTCTTACCTGAAATCAGGGCCTTCGTATGCAAGCAAATCATCAGAGACTTTATTTCCACGAATACATAAGCTGTCGATCACAAGTTCATCAGCATATGCAGTGCAACAGAATTCCAAAGTAGAACCATCTCCTTTGCTGATATTTACTGTCAGAGGAATGGTTGGCTGGTCGTTCTTCTCATCCTCGCCCTGATTTTCCTCATCAACACCCTCTTCATCGTCTTCAGTATCTTCCACAGTTGGCATGGAAACTACAACCTCGATATTCTCGCCATGGTAGTCTCTCCTAAGAGTAATGACATTGGTCCCCTCCTCATCTTGGATTTCAAAAGGAAACCCTTCTGGAACTTCTCCCACCTTTGTAAATTCAAAAAGAGTTTAAAAGTACCAATAATCAGGCTCAATGGAGAGTCAGTTTGAGTACATAAGAAGAACATAAAGGCATATCCCAAAAATAATTTCATTTTGGAATAGTGTTGCGTATTTCTTGAAATTGACTGAGTAGAATGATTAAAATATTAAAACTGGTGGAGGGCTAGAAAGTTTAGCTTTATGCTATATTTATGAGATAGACATTAAGACGTAGTTGGCAATACATTTCAGAGAGATGAGAAGAGATTAAAACGGATTATTCGTATTATCAATGATAACCAAAGATGTCAATTCTTCCATCCACTGCATCATGCCAGCTTGTTTTTTTAAGTTTTTTCATTAGGGAACTTTCTTACAAAAAATAAATGCAAAACACTTCAGTCAAATGCTTCAATCAAATAAGCATTTGACTGAAGTGTTGCATGCATTTATTGGGAGGTTAGAAAGGAAGTTATATGAGAAAATGAAAATTTATTACATTTATTGGGAGGTTAGAAAGGGACTTATATGAGAAAATGAAAATTTATGACTAAGGAGATCTTATTCACTTACAAACATACTAGTAGTCTATTTAAACTAAGTTTTCAATCCGCAATAACAAAAAAAAAATGTATTAAGTTAAAGCAATCATAAAAATTAAAAAAAGTGGCGCAATGACATGTGGTATGTGTATGCTTATTTTTATCTGCCCGAAAGTCCGCATGATGAAATTTATTATGATGTAGATGAGATTCGAATTCAAAACCTTGGCAACAAATTTCAAAGCCCTTGCCAATCAAACTAGTTGGCACCATGATAATATATGTATGTTGAATAAACAATAGCCTTAAAAAGGTAAGCCACTTAGATGTTAAAGGTTGTGAGTTAATTTGCGTATTTTTTAATTAGGTTATGATATCTGAAAGTCCTGATTTATGTACAATTTTAAGAGTGAATGAAATGAACTCATGACATAGTTTTTGCTCAAAATAGATTCATACAAAGATGAGAACTAAGCTGTAAAAAAATCATCTTAACCACAAATTTTTTTGATTAAGTATAATTAAGTACAACAGAGTAGATTTGACTTGAGTAGGGATGCAATATTCGACACGACCCAAAACACAACCCGGACCTGACCTGAAAAATTTTGGGTTCGGATCAACCTGTTTACCAAATGGGTAGGTTTCGAGTTCAAGATATTGACCCATTTTAAAATTGGGAGGTTCATGTTGACCCGAAAACCCCAAAAATCTACTCAGAACTAACCCGAATCCCATCCCAAGCCACCATCTCGAGACCTCGTGCCGCAACCTGCGCCCCTGAGAGATCCCGCCCCTCGTGCAACCCTGTGCTCCACGCCACCTCACACCCCTGCACGAGCCGTGCCCCCGCGAGAGCCCCGAATACCTAAAACCTATTTTGGCCCATTTCTAGAATCAAGTCGGGTTTGGGTTGGACCCGAATCCAACCCGAAAACCTACTTTGACACCCCTAGACTTGAGCCACATTATTGACCATATTATTTCATATTTTGATGTAGAACCAAGGGGGGTTCCTAAAATATGTTAATTAATTTAAGAAAGGATTTAAATTTCAAATTTATTTGAATTTGAATTCAAAAACTTTCCAAATTAATATAAAACTAATTTAGGAAAGAGGGAAATTAAGGAGGGAAAGGGACTAGGGGACTTTTGATTCAGATTTTAGTGGAGCAAGGGGAGGGAAAGGGGTTAGGGGTTACTTAATTAATTCCTTAATTGGAGTTCCAATTTTGGGAATGAATTAATTAAAATAGGAGAGAGATGGGGCCGAACAATAGAGAGGAGAGAGAGGTGTCCATATTCATTGAATATGGAAGGGCAATTAATACTAATTAATCTAAGATTTTAATCAATCCAAGATTGAAGGGGTTTCCAATCTTGGCAAACTTATTTTAGGAAAGAGGATTTAAAGCAAATCTATTCCTAATTCAAATTCAAATTCAAATTGGCTTGATTGAGGGGCTTTCCTAAATTCAACCACCTTAATTTATAAGGGAAAATTCAATTTCATATAATTGAAAATCTGAAATTAAAACCTTCCTAATTTAGAGATCTCATAAAAGAAAAGCATTAATTTTGTGATTTGAAATTTGGAGGAAAAGGAAGATGATGTGGCCGGCGGCTGGGGGGGGGTGTATGTCCGGCAGCTAGGGAGGTTTGGGTGGAGTTTGGGCCAGCGGTTAGTATGAGAAGAAAGAGGGGAGGAGGAGAGGGAGTCGGTGGAGAGATAGATGCCGGTGGCTTCGGAAAGGGGAGGGAGTCCGGCGGCTAGGGGAGAAGGAGGAGATGGAGAAGATAAGCCACGAGTCCGGACGCTTCCTGCAGTTGGTAGGTAGTACTTTTCTCTCACATAGGGATCTCACCAAAGTTCTCTCAAGAACAAGAGTGCAAAAATTTTTCTTAATAATATCTCATCCTTCTAATACAATAGCAATGGTCTCCATATATAGGCCACAAAATAAAAAGAAACTCAAAAAACAAATATATCTCTAGGGCTTACATATGACTACCCCCTCAAGTGAGGGTAAAAACGAAAAAAAAAAAAAACGCATAAATAAATCAAAATACAAATATTAAATCAAAATAAAGTGGAACGATCATGGTCGTCGATCTTCGGCTCCTTTTCTGATAAACTTTCAGGGTTGGATGTCCTCATCATATTTCATTGGTGAATTCCGAATGGATAATTAACGGCCTATTTGAGATCACATTTTATTTTTTTAGAAATAGATTTCAGGTATAATAAAACCCTAAACCCTAAAAATATCAAGACTCCTGATATCCACAAATCAAATGAACAATTTAATCCCAATAAAATCACCAACAATCGTAGTGTCAGGAGGAATGAAACAAAAAAATGAACAAATTTGAGAATGACACACGTCACACACCAGTGATCAAATTCATTTTTAATCCAAAAAATTAGTCTAATGATAAGAACCAATCACTTGGCGTTTTATGACCAAAATATTTTTCAACTTTCAGATACGGAATTAAACTCAATTTTCTTACATGTCATAACATAAAAAAATGCTAATAATGAAAAACTTGAAACCATCTATATCTTATAAAAAACTTTAATATCCTAAAAGAAAAGTAACAGGTCAAGCAAATTGCTCACAATATGATTTCCTAAAGCCCAAAACGACAAGGATGAGAAGAAGAAACTTAGAATTCTGCATCCAAAGCTAGTATAAGATGGCATTAACTAAAAGGCTCTAAATTGCATGGAAACTTACACCGCATTAAAAAAAAAAAATACTCTCACTTGAAACAATTAAACATTATCAGTTCCTAATCAGTAGCACTTTAACCAATTGAGCCCTTAAATATTCTGTCAATACATATACCGAAATTCACCAAACACCTAAACAAACAATCCCAAAACGTCGTTCATTTAACGAACAAAATATGTTAACAAGAGGCAAAGAATAATATACTTCGTGACACACCCAGGCAATTCATCCATGCGCTTAAGAAACTAATACATATATGGATGGCTAACCTCTGCACACTCATCCTTGGCACACCCAATCTCCGACTCCACGATCCGGAGAAGCTCAACATCCGCCGCCGGCTTCTTTTGAATAGAAGAAGAGAAGCGAGCGAGAGAAAAAGAGGTGAGAAGCTCCCTGGATTCCACTCGCGAAAGGATTCCTTTCTGGAGAAGTGGGGGAAGGAAAGCCAAATGGTAGCTCCGGCGATTCTGAAAGCAAAATCCCTGAGCAGCTCGCGCTGCAACACCAGTAACACGGCGGAGGGTAATGGAGAAAGTCATGGCCGCCTGCAGGAGAATGAGAGAAGGGAGGATCGACGCTGCTCTCTGCCTCTCTCCGCTAGGGTTTAGGCTTCTGAGGTTTTGGAACTTGGGCCAAGCGTACTGAATTTTGAACTGAGCCCAGTTTCTATGGGCTGCTGGGCTACAAAAAATACCTTCTATTGATACTATTTGATTTAAAATACATATTATTTATAATCTTAATTTCAAACCATCAAAATAAATCATTTCATTAAACATTAAACCAAAAATTTCCTAAATCTAATATATATATATATATTAAAATATTCTAGTTTAAAATGTATTTATTTTGAGATCTAATATAGCACTAATCTCAAAACAAAATTAATTAAGCCAAGCCTTATATAATTTGAATCAAGATACCTAAGCCTAGAATTAACTCTTTATTTAAGTAACATCAAAACAAAACAAAAAATCTTAAGATATATTAATATGAATTAAATTAAGAATGGCCTAAAAGATTATTGAATTTAATTTGAGATTAATAATGCATATAAAATTTTTATGTTTTATTAATCTTAAAGTAAATCGATAATTTTAAAACCTATCATAATACAATAATACAATTTACATCATGATATTCTATTCAAATTTTATTTAAATTAATGCCATTCAAGTAATTCATCCCTTTAAAGTTTTTCAATTTTAATTAAACTTCATCATTAGTTTTAATTATATTTAGGTGGTTAATATTATTCTGTTATTATTATTATTTTTTTAAAAGTCTTGAAAAATCCTTGAATTTTTGCCTTGTAAAAATGTGATTTAATTAAATTAACAATTGAGCAATTTATTTTGCCTTGTAAATATGTTTTGGGCTCGATTTAAATAAAAATATGATTTAATATTTTATGATTTTTTCCATTAGTTTTAATTATATTTAGGTGGTTAATATTATTCTGTTATTATTATTATTTTTTTAAAAGTCTTGACAAATCCTTGAATTTTTGCCTTGTAAAAATGTGATTTAATTAAATTAACAATTGAGCAATTTATTTTGCCTTGTAAATATGTTTTGGGCTCATTTTAAATAAAAATATGATTTAATATTTTATGATTTTTTTTTCATTTATTTATTATTAGAAATGGAGACCACTATATTTGGATATATTTAAGAGTATTTATGGGATTAAAATAAATTTAATTTTACAAATACATTAAATAAGATTACTAGAAAAGAAAACTTCAATGTTTTTTTTAAAAAATATTTTTAAAAAATAGAAAACTTTTGGTAAGGTCAACAAGCCTTTTTGGCCAATGAATCAAATATCCTATAAATCTCAATTTTAAAAATCTAAACAGATCAAATTTAAAATACTTGAATTTACCTATAAAATATAAAGAAATTTCTATGATCACATTATGAAATTATACCTTCGTATGAGACAACGCAACTTTCTTGCTGCTTTATATTTTAGACCTCAACTATTATTTTTATTTGACCACTTTATTTTACTATTTAAAAATAAGGAACTGTTTTTTGCAATTACTTTCAAAAAACACTATATTCTCTACAATAATTTTACAAAATGTTTTATAAATTTTTTTATTAAAAAGTTATTTTAAAAAACATTAAGTTTAGTTTGAGAAGACTTTTTTACTGCTTCTTAAAGAAGCTTTCTAATACAAAAGTTTTAATTTTTGTATTAAGAAGCTACTTTAAGAAGCAATAAGAAATCCGTCCCAAACAAAGCCTAAGGCTTCATTTGGGACGACTTTTTTGTTGCTTTTTAAAGCGGCTTTCTAGTATAAAAATTTTAATTTTTGTGCTAAAAAGTCGTTTTAAGAAGCAAAAAAAAAGCTGTCCCAAACGAAGCCTAAGGCTTCATTTGAGACTGCTTTATTAGTGCTTCTTAACGTAGTTTTTTAGTACAAATTTTTTTAATTTTTGTACTAGAAAACTGCTTTAAAAAGCCATAAAAAAGCTGTCCCAAACGAAGCCTAAGACTTTATTTGAGACTGCTTTATTAGTGCTTCTTAAAGCAATTTTCTAGTATAAAAATTAAAAAAATTTGTACTAAAAAACTGCTTTAAAAAGCAGCAAGAAAGTCGCCCGTTTGGGACAGCTACTAGAAAGCCGTTTTAAGAAGCAGGAAAAAAATCGTCCCAAACAAAGCCTAAGGGTTTGTCTGGGACGGCTTTTTTATTGCTTTCTAAAACGGAGTTTTAGTACAAATTTTTTTTATTTTTGTACTAAAACTTCATTTAAGAAAATAATAAAAAAACCATTTCAAACGAAGCCTTTAAGTCTTCATTTAAAATAGCTTTCTTATAAAAAAAATTGAAGCAGTAAAAAAGCCGGCCTTTTTTCCCAAAAAAAAAAAAAGCCGGCCTAAGAAAGCCGTTCAAATAGACCCTCTTACTGCTGCTTTTAAGCACTAAGAAACGGTCTCAAACGAAAGCCTATGTGTCACAAACACAAAATAGAAGAGGCACTATTAAAGGTGTTAAGATATTGTTTTGGCCAATATTGGCAACTTGATTGCTTTATAAGACCCGTCTGGCTGCACATTCAGGTGCGATAACAGCTCCAGTTACGTACAGTCACCCAGAAAGGGACCAAAAAAACGACCATAGAAAAAAAAATGACATCATATTAAGGTTGATGACGCCATTAGTTCAGCTACCTGAAAGGTTTAGGGTTTCCTAAGCAGCTACAGCTAGATCTTGTTTGCTGTAATTTGGGCATCTTTGTAGATATATTTTTTAAATTGTAAATGATGATAAGGATAATTGCAGCGAGCATGCTTATACTCATGGCCTCTTTTATCGCACCACACCCATTTCCAAGGAATCCTCTCTCTCTCTCTCTCTTACTTTCATGCAATGTATGATCATGCTTAGATATGCATGGTATAATGGGTAAGATCATCATCATTGAACTTCATATATATGCATGAAATCTACTTCTACATCTTGAGAGATTATTATAGGCAGAGTCTTTCAGACTCCAATGAATCAAGCCATGTGACTAGAACACATAATATATATTATACATATACCGTGTACAAGTTATACACATGATGTATATAAGCCGCGTGGCTTGATTTCATTGAGAAATTATTTTGTATGCAGTCCGAACGGGAAGAACCGTCCGAACATGAGTGTACTTATTGTGCATAAATTTGTACACATTGTTTGTACTCACAGTCTGAACGGTTTTCCTGTCATGACTTCGCACGGAATAATTTCTCGATTTCATTAGAGTCCAAACAAAAGCTACGTTCGAACTTCTCACGTAATAATTTCTCCGACATGAGAGTCTCTATGCTTATGATAGTTTGCAAAAGCTCTCTAATCCTCCAACATTCCCACTAAACATATCTAAACTATTATATATTTAAATCTACTTGTCTATTTGTATTTGAATAATAATGCAAATTTTTATTTGACTAGATGGTCTGCTAATAGAGTTAAGAATAATCCATTTGCAAATATAAAATAAATTTACAAGACTTATATAAATTATAGAAGAAAATGAATTACTTTTTAGATATTTATATATTCATGCAAAAATAAATTTATAAAAAAGTTTGCATCGCATAGGAAGGCACCATGCTCTACAATCATGTCTTGTTGGACGCAATATAGGAATTTATCGTAAGTTGTAAACAAGATATGATTGTTTAGGTTGGCGCAACCTAGGAGAGAATATTTCTTATCTATATTAACTAAATTTTAAAATAGACCTAATATTATTATTATTTTAATATTAGAATATAATATTTTTATAATTTAATCTCATGACCATACAAAATTAATCCAAAATTATTCCTATGAGCTAAATTTGGATTAACGAGTAATTAAATTGAGCTCAATTTTATATCACAATTATATTATGAGGGCAATTTTAGATCAATTTTATATTGTTAATAGACTAAATTAGGGTAATGCATTATTTCGATATTAAGATTTCAATTTTCTTTATTATTTTTTAAAGCAGCTTTTTAATACTAAATTATAGCTCAAAAAATTTTGTACAAAAAATTGACTTAAAAAAAGTAAGAAAGCTAGGGCTACAAACGAATCGAGCCGAGCCGAGTATGTGAGTGTTCATATTTGAGTTCGTTTATCATTAGCTTGTTCAAGTTCGGTTCGTCTTTGATTCGAGCTTTATTATTTTTGTTCATGTTTGGTTCGTTTTATTTAATGGTGTTCATGTTTGATTCATGTTCGGTTCATGTTCGGAAGTCTTAACGAGCTATGTTCGTGAACATATTTAACAAACAAACATTAAATTTGTTCATGAACATCTTAAACAAACAATCTAGCAAACATGGACAAATGTGAAATGTCTTTTGTTCATAAAATTAAATTTATAATAAAAGCAGTTGTCTATATAAAATGAAAATATGATTAATCTATATAAATATATTCTTAAATGAAACTTACCTATTGCATTTCTCTCCATTCAAGTTTTAATCGAGCTTAATGTCGAGCTTGTTCACGAACTTTAAATGATGTTGTTCGTGAAAATAAATGAACCGAACACATTAGTGTTCAAGCTTGTTTATTTAAGGATCGAATATTTAAAATGTTGTTCAATTTTGTTTGTTTAATTAGTTAAACGATCACAAACGAGCTTTAATCGAACCGAGCATCGAGTAGCTCATCGAACACTTGGTTCGCTTGCAGCCCTAAAGAAAGTTGTCTCAAATGAAGCCTAAATTAGCCCACAATAGCTTGAAAATTATTTTATATAGTTGGGAGACTAAATTAGGATACTACAATACTCGGAGATCAAAATTTAGTTTGTAACCGTTTCTTTAACGTCTTTTAAAGCAACTTTTTAGAACAAAATTATAGCTCGGAATTTTGTACTTGAAAATTGATTTAAAAACATCAAGAGAGTTGTTCCAAATAAAACCTAAATTAATCCATAATATTTGGAAATTATTTTAACTTTTATGTATATATATGAAATGGGATATTAAAATAAATGAATAAACGAATATGATTTTAAAAAAAAAAAATCAGTAAAAGAGGTGGAAAAAGGGGAGGGGGGGAGAGGCGTGCAGTAGTCACGGGGATAATGATAAATGGTGAGGGAGGTGATCGGAAGCATGATGAGGAATAAGGAATAAGGAATGGGGGGAAGCACATACTAACCTTCCCACCTCGCACGCGCGCACAGGCAGGCGGGCTGAAGCCACCATCTCCGAATCATCCTCAGAAACTGTGCTATCTCTGCCTTTCTCATGTTGCTGTGGTCCTAACTCCACTTTCCATGCATTCTCTCTCTTCCTCCAATGCTCCTGTGACTGCAGAGAAATAATGGAGATAGAGTCAGATTAGGAACAAACAGGCAGCTCACCTTGCTCTGTATTCGTTTTAAGTTGGGATGTTTTGTTCTGTTCGGTGTTCGAATATCTCGGGAGATCAACCTGAATATGTCACATCATTCAATACACTGTGTATTGGGTGATATGACGCGTCCGGATTGGCATCTGGACACACGGCACCTAATGATTTTTCTTAAGTTTGGGTTGTTAAGAAACAGAGCCCTACATGGGGTCCTGGTTGGGTACCCACGCTCTACGCTGGTAGGCTTTTTGCCCACCCACACCCACTTATGGTGACTTTCCTGATGGCATGCCCACCCACACCCACCCACTTTCCACGCTTATTGAATGCAATCTGCCATAGATTAATGGCCTTGAGGTTTTTTTCCATTTTCTCTAATTGCAAACTTTCAAGGCATATATCAAAATTTATCATGGTTGTGACGCGGTTCAGTGTTGCACATTGCGTAGTAAGGATTATTGTAATAGACTGCATGTATATGATAATTAGTAATATAAATCGGTTGTCCTTTGATGTTGAGTACCCACCCATACCCACCCACGATGCCATGAGCGTACCCAAACCCACCCATGCCCATTGGGTATGGGTGGGTACGTGGGTGGGTGTGGGTATGGGTACCTAATGCAGGGCTCTGTTAAGAAAGGCTTTGATTGAGAGGGTTTACTGCTTCTTAAAGTAGTTTTTAGTATAATTTTTTTAATTTATGTACTAAAAAATTACTTCAATAAACAATAAGCAATAAGAAGTGGTCCCAAACAAAGTCTAAGAGGTCTTTAGTTTGAGTCTTAGGTATGTGAAGTGTGTGAATTAATCTAATTGACCTAAATATCTCATAAAAATTTTGGAACAAAGAATAATTTAATATATATGCATGAATATATATTTGGAATATTGGGTAAAAAATATATTATAAAATAACAGCTTCAATTTTTTTTTGACAGAAGAAATAACTAAACATCATTTTCAAATATAAATTAATTTGAAAAAGAAAAATTACTCTACAAAAATCAAAACAAGACTTCTTTTGGGTCAAGATATCCTTACTAAATTTTGATCAAACAAAAAGGCATCGAGACTCCTTAATGAAATTATTAGGTGCGGAGTGTGGACGGGAGAACCGTCCGCACACTAGTATAAAACAGTGTTCGGTACCGTCCGCACACTAGTATAAAACAGTGTTCGGTACCGTTCGGTACCACTCGGTACCGTTCGGTACCATGTATCTGTGCGGACGGTTCTCACCCTGTCTGCACTCCGCACCTAATAATTTTTCCTTAATCAGATTGTATTAGTCTTTTTAAAATTCAAATTCTAATATCTAATCTCTTTATTCTCTCTGTCTCACTCTCGCTCTCTCTCTCTCTCTCTCTCTCTCTCTTAGCGTGCAGTGCAAAATCTACAGCTCTGTTACCTATATAAAGAAGCAGATAGCCAGCTCTTGTTCTTCATCACCAAGCTTTCAGGTTGGTACTTTCTCCTTTTCCTTCCTATCTAGCTAGCCTACTTTCTCTGCTATCTTTGCTTCCCTGTTGGCTAAAAGGGAAGAAGCTTTCTTCGCATCCTGATATTGTTTTTTCTGTCTTCTCTTTCTGGGGACCAAGAAAATGGGTGATATCTCCAGGTGTAATGGGAATGCAACAGTTGCTGCGGAGTGCCGCAGGAAGAGCTTCTGGTATGAGGAGGAGATCGAACAGGATTTGAGATGGTGCTATGCTCTTAATGGGTATCTGTTCTTGTTCTGGAATTTTCAAATCCCCCTTCTTTTGATTACTCATTTCATTTGATTTTCTTCTTTTACCCGATAGTAGAATATGGTGATAGTTTCATTGAGAAACACACTGTTTCCTATTTTATACTTCTACCAATCTTGAAATTTCTGAAGCTATACCAAAAGTGAGTTCTAATCAGATTTTTTAGACGGTGTAAACAACCTAAAACACTAAGATTTTGTTCGGGACAACTTTTTTACTGATTCTTGATGCAGCTTTTTAGTACAACAATAATAATAGCAAACAATATCAAGCCTTTGTCCCACTAGCAAACAATATCAAGCCTTTGTCCCACTGCGTGGGGGGTCGGCTGCATGAATCCTTTTTCTCCATTGTGTCATGTTAAAAGTCAAATTATTGTTTAAATCTAATAAAGAAAGATGAATTCTAATATTTTCTAACCTAAGTCTTTTTAGATCTACCTCTACCTTTTTGAACATAAATCAAATCTAATACATCTACTCTCCTAACTGGGTCATCGGAAGACTGTCGTTTTATGTGACCAAATCATCTAGGGCGACTCTCTCTAATCTTATCTTCCACCAAAACTAAAATTTTGTACTAAAAAAACTGTATAAAAAGCAAAGCTGTAACTCTTCGTGAAAGACATTGACAGCCTTAAGTTCCATGCAACTTGATTAGCTCTGTAAATACATAAAGGTGATTTAGGTAACATTTATTTTTACTTAACCTATTTGTTGTCATTTATGATCAGAATTCTGCACTCTGGAGAGAGTCAGTACCAAGACATTGCATTGCTGGACACAAAGCCCTTTGGAAAGGTTTGCAGAATTAAACCACACATTTCTTCTATGTTTTTCTTCTTTACTTCTGTACCTTGTTGCAATGCAGGCCTTGGTCATTGATGGGAAGCTGCAGAGCACGGAGATAGATGAGTTCATCTACCATGAATGTCTTGTTCATCCAGCACTACTACATCACATCAAGTATAATTTTCTTCTATTTGCTCGTTCTTCTATCAGACAAAAAATAGTCTCTGTTACTCTTTGTTTTGTTCGTGACAGGCCTGAAACTATCTTTATAATGGGAGGAGGAGAGGGTTCCACAGCAAGAGAAATCCTCAGGCACAAGACAGTGGAAAGGGTTGTCATGTGTGATATAGATGAGGTGAGAATGATTTCGGATGTTGCGATAAGGCTCATATTACGAAGAATTATGCATAGCTTTTTAGTACCAAAATTTTTAGTTCAATAAATTTTAAATTAAAAAATTGCTTTAGAAAGCTATCCAAACAAAACTTCAGTTATACAAGACTATGCCTTACCATAGGCATATAAACTTTTTTCATGGTAACATACAATTTTTAATATTTTAGCTTGTCTAAATTTGCATAAAAATTTATTTATTTATTCATTGTTAGTATTCCTCTGGCATCATTCCCTTTCCTCTTGTGTGGTTATTTTACATTAATTAGTATTGCAGGAAGTTGTAGATTTCTGCAGATCATATTTGGTTGCCAACAGAGAAGCCTTCTTTAATTCAAGGCTCAAGCTTGTCATTAATGATGCTCGGTAATATCTTCTCACCACATAAATCTAAATAAACACAGTTCATTCTCCTAAATTAAACTCTTACAATAGATTTATAAAGAAATTTATTATCAAGTAACAGTATCACTAACTTAATATGCAATCAAATACAATGATAACTTCGCATACAAAAACTCAACTGTACATCAAATTTTCACTAACCCAATGACTACAAGATTAATGTTTCGTTTGGAACAGCTTTAACCACTATTTTTTCTTTGCTTTTAAGAGTTTTTAGCACTAAAAAATAACTTTACAAAGCAGTAAAAAAGTCATCCCAAACGAAGCCTAAAACAAAGAAGATTGTTAGATAATCAAAACTAAAGAAAAAGTTTGATGTTCTGTATTTTACAGAGCTGAACTAGAGAAGAGAGAGGAAAGGTTTGATGTTATCATAGGAGACTTGGCAGATCCCATTGAAGATGGCCCGTGTTACCAGCTCTATACCAAATCCTTCTATGAATCAATCCTAAAACCCCGACTCAAAGAAGATGGCATTTTTGTGACACAGGTATTTGCCTATTTGTTGCATACAATAATAGAAATACGGTCTTAATTATACTTTTAACAGACTTCATAGTTTCTCCTTTATTTTCCCATACGTTCTGTAGGCTGGGCCAGCCGGAGTGTTTAGTCATACAGAGGTCTTTTCCTGCATTTACAACACGCTAAGGCATGTTTTCAAATGTATGTGGGTATAGAACATAACGGTATTGTTGTCTTGTTTTTGGTTGCTTACAATTTTCAATTTCATATTAAAAAGTTGTTTTTTGTGTAGATGTTGTGCCTTACTCTGCCCATATCCCTTCCTATGCTGATACTTGGGGTTGGATCATGGTAAACTGCACATTGCATTCTTGCTTTAGAAAGAAAACAAAAATTATTTTGATTTTAAGGAACAGTTCTATGGGATCTTCCTCAACAGTACTAATCGTTTGGATAATTAAGAAAGTTTAACCATGGAAATTTACAGGCGTCAGATTCACCTTTCACCCTCGACTCAGAGGAACTGGATTCAAGGATTAGGCAAAGGATCAATGGTGAGAATAGATATCTTGATGGAAAGACCTTTGCATCAGCCTCTCTTCTTAGCAAAGCAGTTAGGAAGTCGTAAGACTCGTCAATTTTCTTAAAACTCTCTCTTGAATTTCATTGAACTAAGGCTTCATTTGGGACGACTTTCTTGTTGCTTCTTAAAGCTGGTTTTGAGTAAAAAATTAAAAATTTTATATTAGAAAGTTACTTTAAGAAGAAACAAAAAAATTGTTCCAAACGAAGCCTAAGTATATATCATGTATGACTGGTTTTTTCTGTCAGGCTGGACAAGGAAACACAGGTGTACACTGAAGGCACTGCAAAGTTCATCTATGGGCATGGGACTTGCCACAAGATACGTTCAGGGTTGCAGCAGGAGATGAATTAGCAGTAGAAGCCATGAATTAGGGGATAATTTAAAAGTGTGATCAGTCATCAATATGGCCAAAAATACTGACCATGCATGTTCAGCTCATCCAGTTCACTTCCTAGTATTAGAACTCTGTATCAGAAAGTTTTTATTATTATTGCTGAATGAAGAAAATTTGCCTACGCATTATTAGCCCGCTCTGGGGGATCTACAGTAAAATCTACTAGTTGCAACATTTTGCTGCATGTTTTTTTATGACATTTTTCATCACAAGAAGAAACTATTTAAGGAGTTTGTTCTCCGAATGGAAAGAAAATGCTTACTGCTCTATATATATCTTGCCTCTCTAAGGAGACTTCCGTTCATCGACCTCCTAAAAATTTTGTTCTATGTACTTCACATTTTCTTCTCCTAGATTAGACTCATCTATTTTCACTGTACTATGCCATATCGATTTGGTATTATAGCCTTACCCTGATCCTTACTCTAGATTGTTTTTGCAATCATATGTGAATTCCCACAACTTGCTCCCTTATTTCACCATCGATCTGCCTACCTTCCTCAACAACATGAAAGCCTTCATGATCTCACAAAAATCCAATGAAAACCCAACTGAGAAAAAATTGCCTGCATTCAATTATCCAACAATTGAGCCAAATTTGAGTCAATTCAATGGAATGCATGAAAACCTTAAAAGGCTTGCAAATATAGTTCCAAAGCTTATAATACTCTTGATGATAGATTAACAGAATCTTTTGCTTATACTGGGGATATAAAAATGTTATATGCCATTCGTCACTTTGTTTCCAGGATGGATTATGCTAGCGTTGAGTATAGTTCTAGGTCACTTGTTCTTCCTCCAGAAATATTGCAACTTTTTTGGAGTAGAATTCTTTATAACCCAGTGAATTGTTACAGTCCAAATTTCTTTAGTATTTTGACATGAGTATGTTGTGTTTGTCTGTATTTTTATTTACGTTAATTATTAGCACGACCGTTGCTAGGTCCCAAGTCCTGGATGAGAAAAGTGGAGGGTTGCGTTAGGTAGTCGACAGCCAGCGTAAAACTTGTCGAACAATAATGACATGAATCCTTTTTTCTAATTTTTAATAAGCCTTATTTGTATAAGGAGGGCCCAATCTCTTATAATTCATTCAATGTGGATGATAAATTGACATCAAAGTTTTCTTTTGATCTTGCCACTTAAAATTCTCTCCCTTTTATGGTTATTACTTGTTGCCTCCCTCTCTCTTAGGCCTTCATTCATACATCTCCTAATCCTTTTCTCTACTTCATAGATTCTCCTCCTTAGATTAGTAATGATATGAGGTTTGTAGGATCTTAATAGTGAAAAAAACAACTTTATTGGTATCCCCTTGAGATGGGGGTCAAAGGTTTATGTTTAGGATTTTAGACAAATTTGAAACTAAAACTTTCAGTCTTTAAAACATCATTTGAAAAAAATCATTCATATAGAGTCATTAAAACATCATTTTAAGACTTTTAATAAATTATAGCCAATGTCAAAAATGTCATATTCAACTAAAATAATCAATAATTTGTACAAAAAAAATCGGCTGATGAAAATCTGATTTCTTACAATTAAAATGATCAAAATAGAACATTCTACAATATATTAGAAATCATACGATGAAAAGTTTTTTAAAGTGATTAAAATTATATTTTATTCTATAATTTTTTGTACAAACATCAAAATTGAAATAAAAAATAGGATATTGAAATCATACCTCGAGCTAAACATTTTTCTTAACAGGCCAAACAAACGAATCTCACACTTTGGCATCCAAAATCCCGTCTCTTCTTTCTCTCTCTCCTCTTCTCTTCTTTCTCCTCTATAGCAAGCTAAAATGAGGGAATGGTTTTGAACATGACTTTGGAAATATATATATATATATATATTCATTTAAGTGCTTAGCGCCGCAACGCTCCAACGTGAAAAACTGCTGCAATTGACTGGAATATTTAAGATATTCTCAAACAGAGATATCAATGCCACAACGCTTACAATACATTTTTGAAACTTAACATTTTTTTAATTCCAGACTTCAAACTTTATTTAAATTTATGATAACTCTAAATTAAATATGCATAAGGAGATTATGAAATTTTTATCAATTCTATAACAACGGATATTACACTTTAGTCTCTAACTTTGGGTGTAAGCAAGCACTAACATCTAATTGTGAGGTACCAGACATAGTTTCCATATAAAGGCACCTGGGAATATAATGCTGGTCCCATGATAAGGAGACAAGTCAATGAAAAATTAGAGTAACTAATCAATAAAGCAATAACTTCGCAAAATAAATCGCATGTCTAGTAAGGGGCAAGTGAAAGAAATCGTGGATAAAAGGAGTAATTTCATGGGATAAGTTGCCTAAAATAGAGATTTCTAGGAAAAGAGGGGCAACAAAACACCAAGAAATTTTTTTTTTCTAGAGAGAGGTCGCCAAGGATTCTTGAGAAAAAGATGGAAAGACTTTGACAGAGGACGACTCAAAAAAGAGTTTGCCTATAAGGGGTTGATTCCTAGAACAAATCATCATGAGGGGTGACTTCAGAAGTTGTATTGATAAGATGCATACAATGGAAGAGTTCCCAAAACAAGTTATTGTGAGGGTGATGTTCCAGGTAAGGGAGGATGTTCCAAGATTTTTTTTTCAAGGCGCCATTTCATAAAAAAGAGGGAGGTAGAGGGTATAAATTCAGATTAACGAACCATGATCAACTAAAAAATGACCCGACTCAAATATAATTAACTTGAGCCCAACATAAAGCAAACGATACTAAGTTATGTTGGTTTTGTATGAACTTGACATAACATGAAATATATTTGTATACGACAACTCAAAAAAAAAAAAAAAATTAACATGTGTTTTTCATTAAAAAAAATTAAATAGTTAAGTCCATTACAAACCCAAATCAATCTTTTTTGAGTCCATTACTAACTCAAACCAAACAAAAATATTATAAGAGCTAACTTGAACTCCAAATTATTATGTCAGGTTTGAGTTGAGTCTAACATTGACACCACTAGAGGGATGTCAACCATGACTACTTAAAAAGTTTGTTGGCAATGGTTGAATTCTAAGTACAAGTCACTGCAAAGGAGATGGTTGATCATGAAAAAGGGAAAATGCTCAGAACAACTCATTGAGAGGGGACAATTTCTCAGTAAAGAGTGACGACGAGGCACCATCAAATGGAGAGCTCCTAGAAGACCAATTGGATTGTGTTAAGATGTCAAGAGGTTGACTAGATGCACCTGAGTGGACCAAAGAAAGAAGATATTGTTGGCTTGCATAGAGAAGAACTTAAGCTAACTAAGGATATCCAAAGTCGGTCCATTAGGATGTTGGTAGTCCTAATAAGGGCTAGGACTATCTAAGAAGTGATGGGGACATCAGCAGCGATTTCGACACATGTACCTTCAGGAGATGCCGGAGATCGACGGCCACGATCATGTTTTGTATTTTCATCATTTTATGTAGTAGTTTATGTTTATTTTATGTTTTTCCATTTTTACCCTTATGGGTATTTGATAGCTATTGTAGCCCAAGGGGCATTTTAGTACTTTACTTTCTTTGTCATTTTGAGGCCTATTTATATGGCCCATTTCTCATGTAAGAGTTAGTTTTGAATGAATGAAAATTTGCTCTTGAGCATTGGGCCTATATTAGCAAATGAGGACGACATTTTGGGCCAACAATTCTACCATTTTGGTGTTGGAAAAAGGCTAAAAATATTCTCCTAATTCGTTCGGAGAACTAGGTCCATCAACTAAGCTAAGATGATGTAGAGGTCCTCTAAAAGCAATAAGATCCTAGAAGGGGCTATCTTATAACTAGGGTGACTAGGCTGAGACAAGATCTCAAAGGATCAAAAGAGGTCAACAGTGGAAAAAAAAATCCTAAAAGATTTGTTTTCTAAAAAAGATGACAATGTTCCCACCATTTTGTATACCTATATTCTTGTTTTCACTTTTCAATGAGTAATTCTTAGAAAATGTCTCACAAAAGAATGTTTTTTGTGGATGTTGCAATATCTCCAAAAAGTTGAAAACTTACCTAACGATTCGCACAGAAATGAATGAATGACAATAGATTGTAAAGCATTAATCCGTAGCTTGTGGAGAGTTAAACTCAGAGACAAGTAGAAGGACCATTGAATATGATACAGCAAAGGAGATCTATCAAACTGCCCCAGGTTTCATGCATTCGAATCAATTGCAACGCATCAAATCTTGTGCCGAGGTCTTCCTGTCGTGAGCTTATTCATAACTAAATTTGCTTTTCTAAGTAAATCTGAACAAGGATTCAATTCCTTAAGGAGATTTCCCAAAAAAAAATTCCTGAAGGAGTGCCTCAATCCCAACACAAGTACACAACCCAAATACCAAACGATAACAAATCATAGACTTCACACCCAGCCAATGGACATTTATAGCACCAAGGACATATTAAATAGTTTTTTTTTTCTCTCTCTATGCATTAAAAAATAGAAAAGCTACAGCACCAGTAGCTGGATGAGGCATGAATGCATGATGACAAGAAGTGAGGAGAAGGAGAGGATTCATGTGAGGCTGCGGTAGGTTTAGTGGGACCCACCATGCTCCTCTTCCTTCCTCCCCGCATTCCTCACCCTTTTCTCCTCAAAAAGAGATCCATCCAGTCAGTCCACAAACCAATATCCAGGAAAAAAAGTGAAATGTAGCAGCAGCACAACAGTGAAATCATTTACAAATGGAAAAGCTTGGAAGCACACAAAATTTTTAAAGCCGTTTACGTACCAGATCGGACCCCATCCGTCATCACAGTAATGGCCGCCGATGCCTCCCTTCCATGGAAACTTTACCACAACCCCCACTTCCTCTCGGATTCCCTTCATGATTCCCCCCATCTCCTCCTCGCCTACGAAACCCCCACTTCCCCACTCCACCCCAATCCCCTCTCCACCGTCATGGACGACCTCGCCCTCGCCCTCGCAGAAATAAGCGAGCTCCGCGCTGAGGTGGACCTCGAGCGCCGCATGCGCCGCGCCGCCGAATCCCTCGCAAAATCCGTCGCACGCGAGCTCGCCGATGAACGTCGCGCACGCGCTGATGCCGAGGCCGAGATGGCGCGGTGCCGTGAGGCCGCAGACCGCGCCGTCAGGGAGGCGGACGAAGATCGCCGGATGCTGAAGCTCGCCGAGGCGTGGAGGGAGGAGCGCGTGAAGATGAAGCTCGCCCACGCCGCTATCGTTCTCGAGGAGAGGATACAAGAGGTTGCCAGTAATGTAATAATGCAAAAGACCAGTGAGGTTGATTGCGTCGCCGCCGCCGCCCGGAATGGCCGAGAAAGACAGGGAAGGGAGATTGAGAATCCGCACATCAGAAGAGGAATAAATGGGTTCGTTGAGTTTTCGCGGGCATTCAGGGTTCGGTCGCCGGGATTGGGGAGGGAAAGGGAGCGGGGCGGTGGAGATTTGGAGTGCGAGAGAGCTCATCTTAGGGTTTTGATGAAATAACTTGATGATTTTGTAGTTAGTTCTATCAATTTTGGCAATCAAAATTATTATTACAAGTTGTAATTGTCGAAGCACGGCTCTGAGATTCGTCGCTGTTGGTTCTCAGAACAATGAGCTTGCAGGAACAGTTTCTCTGTAAAATGCTAATTTGGTTGTTCATACAGTAAATTCTTTAAAAAATAAATAATAATCTGCTGCAGTAAATTTCTAAGTACCTGCAAGCATTCAAATGCATTTTTGAATAATTTCTTCATAATTTTATTTTAGATATCATTATCATATTTGTATTTGATTATAAATTTTTATCATTTTGTTAGAACTTTAAGATAGGTTTCTTCAATAGTAAGATCTGCTCAACTATTGTAATTGTAAGAAAGATAGTCTAAAACTTCTTTTAAAAAGAAAAAAAAATATTAAACATCACAATAATTTAACAATTTTGACTATCAGAACAGCTTCAGGATTTATTATTCTGGGCGGAGTTCAGATGGAGTTCTAAAACCAATAAAAATATATCACGTCATTCCAAAATGTATCGCACTTGATACCATTCGGTACCTAAGCGTAACTGGATAGGAGAACCGTCCGGTATATCCGCATAGAATAATAGCTCCAATTTCAGAGATAATTTTCTAGATAATTGCAGTAGCAATAGTCTTTAAATCAATAAAGTAATTTATTGGTGATAGAAGCTACTACTTAATAAGTTTAATTCATGACTTTGGGATTGCTTCTTTGCTGCTTCTTTAAAGCAATTTTTTAGTAGAAAATTAAAAAAATTATATTAAAAAACTGCTTTAAGAAGCATTAAAAAAATTGTCCTAAACAAAACCTAAGGTTTCATTTGGGACAACTTTCTTACTGCTTCTTACTACTTCTTAAAATAGCTTTTAGTATAAAATTTTTAATTTTTTTATTAAGACCTCATTTGATATGACTTTCTCAATGCTTCTTAAAACCACTCTAAAAAAAAATTGTTTTAAAAAACAGCAAGAAAGCGAAGCCTTCATAAAAACAAAAAAAACAAGTGGTATGAATCAAGATGTTGGAACAAAACCAGCTCTAACAATTCAGAATAGGACTGCAAACACAATACGATTCATAATTACACAATTGCAGAACATGTGAAGCACAACTTAAATCTACAAAAGGAGCATTTATTTATTCATGGAAGTAGTCATACACAGTATGAGGATACAATAAAGTGTTATCTTCCTTATAATGCAGAAGAAAGTAACATTTGATGCAGAAATAACAAGGATCCTCTGGGGCCCACTTATCATCAACGGTCATTTTTGTTGCAATGTAGATCTGACAAACAGAGCATTTCCTTTGACGGGGTTTGATTTGGAAAGTGAGGAGAGGATAATCTGCCTTGTTGTGTGAATCATCTGGATGGATCAGTCTCATGTCTCTAAACACTATGATGTGCTTGCAATTCCCCTGTAATGTTTCAAAAGTATAATTAATCATCTCAATAATGACATAACAACTCTGTTACTGCCTTTAAAAAAGATTATAATCATTCTTAAATTGGTAAATATTCATGATTAAAACGTACTATCAATCTACTGTGATATCAAATAGGATGCCAAAAGTGGTTATCTTTTCTAACTTTATCACATATCATCATTTCTGGCACATTCAACTAGATTGTAAGTAAATCCATAATTTAAGTCTTCAAGATATTTCATGTTTTTCAATATCTTTTTAGAACAAAATCAGAGAGTCTAAACGGGGGATTGTAAACTCACAATGTTAGTCTACAACTGCATCTTTCCAGGACAGCGACTTCTTTTCAAAGTGGGTTGGGGCCTCAAAGACAGGATGACAAACCTCAGACTTGACTTGTAAATTGTAATTATTTCATGTCCAGAATAATTTTTTCCATCTTTTTGAAAACTAAAAAGTGCTATGGAGAGTTCTTGAAAAGAAAGGAGTTAATAATACTTATATTCAATCATTAAAGATATGTATCCAGGAGCTATTACTTGTGTTCAAACACAAGGTGGTTTGACCAACTATTTTCGGTTGGATTACATCAAGAATCAGCCTTAAGCCCATATCTTTTTGCTTTGATCATGGATGTTCTCACCAGACATTTGCAAGAGGATGTACCTTGATGTATGCTTTTTGGCGATGATATTCTTCTTGTTGATAAGACTAGAGAGGGAGTTGAAGGTAAACTTGAATTATGGAGGTCAACCTTAGAGTCTAAAAGTTTTCGCTTGAGTAGATCTAAAACTGAATATATGGAGTGAAATTTTAGTGGTAATAGAGCTAGTGAGTGACTTTGGGCGATCAAGTCATTAATAAGAGTACACGTTTTACATATCTTGGATTTATTGTTCAGAGTGATGGTGAAATAGATGGGGATATTATCAGCAGAATTCAAGTTGGATGGTTGAAGTGGAGGAATGCATCGAGCTTGTTGTGTGATAGAAAAGTCCCCCTCAAACTTAGGAAAAATTCTATAAGATGGTGGTGAGACATGCAATGTTTTATGGTGCCGAATGTTGGCCATTAAAAGAGAAGCATAATACTAAGTTAAGTGTTGCAGAGATGAAGATGCTAAGGTGGATGAGTGGCTTAACCCTTAAAGATAGGATACGAAATGAGCATATACGTGAAAAGGTTGGAGTATCACCAGTGGAAGATAAGATTAGAGAGAGTCGCCTTAGATGGTTTGGTCACATAAAACGGCGGCCTTCCAAGGACCCGGTTAGGAAAGTAGATATATTAGATTTAACTTATGTTAAGAAAAGTAGAGGTAGACCTAAAAATACTTTGTTAGAAAATATTAGAAATGATCTTTCTTTATTAGATATAAACGAGAATTTGACTTTTAATAGAACACAATGGAAAAAAGGATTCATGTAGCCGACCCCACGTAGTGGGACAAAGACTTGATGTTGTTATTGTTGTTGTTGTTATTGTTGTTGTTTTTGAAGGTTACAGGAAGTTGGTCAAAACATTAAGGTCTTTCCTACACCACTAGAAGGGAGAGTTTATATAGAATTTTAAGCAAGAGAAGCTAGGGGGATATTGAATCTTTATTGCTCAAAAAACAAGATTATTTTTTTCGTATGTTCTACAATTTAAAAAATATCTTCTGGAATTTATATATGGTAAAAAATAGCCAAAATCATCACTAAGAGAGCCTTCAAGGAAAGCTTTGAGCATAGTGAAATATTTTCAAGCCAAAATTTTGGGGAAATTTTTGCCATGAAAAATGTGTTGACACTTGAAGTTCTCTAATGAGTGACATTGTGACTGAATGAAATAGCTTGGTTTATGACCCCTAGGAGAACCAAGCTAACATCTAAGAAGTTTTCACATTCTCGATTGTTTGAGACCCAAAGCATTTTTGTACTCTTAGATTTCACAGTATGAATAATAACGTGGTGTCAAAAATGTTCGTCATTTGTGAAAAACTTGTGTTCAACTCACTAAGTCGTTTGTGTTCAATTCGTTCGTTAAGCAAACTAATATTGAATAATTAATTGAGATCATTTACTTAGAAGTTCAACCACAAACAAAGCCTTTTTCGATCTTTAAACTATATATTATTACTTTATTTTTTTTCCAAATTTATTAATCGTTAAGTAGATAAGCATAATGATTATATCATATTTTGCTCATTATTTAACTATTTTCTTCTGTTCAAAAATGAATTGGGTTTGGCTTGAAATGAATGAGCCAAATACGAACACAAAGTCACGAACAATTTCAAATACGAGCTGAATATTAACACACAACAAGCTTGCTCAAACTGTGCTCGTTTACACCCCTACCAAGAGTTCTAGCAACCTATGCGTCTAATTTTCAAGCCATTTGCAATGTTGTATTGCTCTTGGAGAAGCAACCATTTATTATCATCATTTTTCACAACCCCAAATTTTGCGCATACAAATTCCCAAAATTATTGCGACTCTTGTTTGGAGAGACACCTATTGCGTTCAATTGCTACCAATAAGATCATTTTGATGACAATATAGTGGCATATTATTACCATTTTCTAACAATGCTAACAACAAGCCATGAATATTCTGAGACTTAGGTTTCTTATGGGATGGCTTTTTTAATGCTTCTTAAAGCAGCTTTCTAGTACAAAAAAATTAATTTTTGTACTAAAAAATTGTTTTAAGAAGCAGGAAGAAAGCCGTCCCAAACTAAGTCTTACTCCTGACAATCCAACCGCCAAAATTTCAACTAGTCAACCTCATTGCACTCATGCTGTTAGAACATTCAAAGCAATTTCATAGCACGCCAACTAGACTTCAATAGTGGTAGCTACTACCAGCACTATCAGGCTACCGTAATTAGAGAAGGCATGAGTATAATGTAAAAGATCTATTTTGTAGGTAGCATCTCCAAAAATTGGTAGTAAAAGATGCTCAAGGACAACAAAATTGAAGACAACTAATAATCAATAAAGAACATCAAAATTCAAGTGATAATAGGAAACAAACGTAAAAAACTTCAACTTGCAATATCCTCAAACACTTTCTATCATAAACATAACAGATGTTCCCTATAAAAACAAGTCTTTTACATTGTACCGATAATTTCTCCAGTTACCAATACAGGCAAACCATAATGATTCTCGACTTAAACTAGCGGAACAATTTAAACTAAACTAGATCTCATGGCTTTTCCTCCTCTCCGGTTTCCACATTAAAAAGCATATCCTAAGATTGCTTTTGACTCTTATGTTTATGTATGAGATATTTGTTTAATATTAAGATAATAAACCTCTTTGTATTGTCCTGCAATTTCAAACACAATATATTGACGCAATCTAAAGTGAATCATCCCACTGTTATCGATAAGCTATACGAACATTACTCTCAACGAAGAACAAATGAAAAACCTGAAACAATGGGATATCGCTCTAATTCCCACCAATCAAGGGACCTTTTCTTGAACCAAGGTCCAAGGCCAAGCTTTAGCTCTTCCCCTCTTGACAAGAGGAATCCCAACATGAAGAATCTTGTTGGCAAAGGTGTTGCCCATCATTGAATGACCATATCGAGCATATGGAGGAATCAAGGGGTTGAGATCCTTCATCTTTGTGTGAAACCAATCAACGGAGGTCATCACGCCAAAATCTCCCTACATAACACCTCCCACCTTATGTTTGCAAGAGGTTTTGTTGTTTAAAGGCAAGTGAACTTGTCCGTTTGTATGTTGATATAGCTGTCGGGTGAACTATATACACCACTAATTTTTTCATACATATTGGTCAACAGGTTGTTGCGTTCATCATTAATTCTCCCTACGCAAACTGATTGACAAGTTGCTACATCTACCTGCATATTGGCTTTGTGTTCATAGGAGACTATTGCATGCATCTGCAAGCCAACTAGCATCGATTGGAGGGATGCGGCAGCATTCATTGCACAGTATTGTGAATTTTTGGGTGAGTTGCATTCATCACCGATTTCTCCATGCAAGTTGATCGGTAAGTTGCTACATTCCCTTGTACATCCTTCATTGTTCAAGAGAAATGCCTACATATATTTGCAAGCTAGCCGACGTTGATTGTTGAGAATGTCACATTTGCAAGTTCGTTGCTTGTGCTATTCTTTTAGTGAGTCAGTGCATTCATCAAGAGTTCTCTATTGAGCTGTCATATTCGTTAAGAACTCCCTTTGTTGATTCTTCCAAGCTACTTTGCATAGACTTGCGGGCTAACTGTTATGGACATCACAAGTTTCATATTGTTCATATGTGTGTTATGACATCCACTTATATGTTTCATATTATTGCTTGGAATTGCATCCACCATAGGTCCTTAATTTGCTCATTGAGGTTTGTTTAGATAACCAGGATTATTAATTGGCATGCATCTTAATATGATGGTGCATTTTGAAATTTAAAGTCCAATTTCATGTAGTTTTGTTCAGTTCAAGTCCCCTACATTTTGTTCAAGTCAAGTTCCCTTTTTTTTCTTTTTTTTTTTTTTCCTCTAGTTATTGTGCAAGTAAAGTTCCCTATTGTTCACTTAGGTTCAAATTAGGTCCTTTGTTGTTTGTTGAATACAAGTAGCCTACAACAACAACAACAACAACATCAACATCAAGCCTTTATCCCACTACGTGGGGTCGGCTACATGAATCCTTTTTCTCCGTTGTGTCCTATTAAAAGTCAAATTATCGTTTAAATCTAATAAAGAAAGGTCATTCCTAATATTTTCTAACCAAGTCTTTTTAGGTCTACCCCTAACTTTCTTAACACAAGTCAAATCTAATAACTCTACTCTCCTAACCGGGTCATCGGAAGGCCGCCTTTTTTATGTGACCAAACCATCTAAGGCGACTCTCTCTAATCTTATCTTCTACTGGAGCTACTCCAACCTTTTCACGTATATGCTCATTTCATATCCTATCTCTAAGGGTAAAGCCACTCATCCACCTAAGCATCCTCATCTCTGCCACACTTAACTTAGTATTATGCTTCTCTTTTAATGGCCAACATTCGACACCATTAAGCATTGCAGGCCTCACTACCATCTTATAGATTTTTCCCTTAAGTTTGAGGGGTACATTTCTATCACATAACAAGCCCGATGCATTCCTCCACTTCAACCATCCAACTTGAATTCTGCTGATAATATCCCCATCTATCACTAGAAAATTTGGCAACCTACCGACGTCTTCCGCATTTAAGAAAAAATCCGGGAGTCTTAGCCTACCCAACACGTCAGAGAAAGACGTGCGTGGCCGGTGTCTGATGACACCGCGGTTGTAGTCTACGGTCCCACCATGCTAGAGAAAGGCGTGGGGTACCTATTAAAAAATGCAATTTTCCCCACCACGTTAAGAAAAGCGTGAATAAGGCTCACCCGCTTCACCGCAAGCACCACACCGATTTCCTCCCACCACGCTAGAGAAAAACATTCATAGAAGGACCCATGGCGCACTGCAAGCGCCGAAAGCGGGCTTTTAAAGGACTTTGAGTTCGAAAATCATTTATAAATTTGCGTAAGAGTCAACGACGGCGATGTCAAGTCATTAAGGATATGTATCCAGGAGTTGTTACTTTTGTTCAAACACAAGGTGGTTTGACCAAGTATTTTCCAATTTTAGTTAGATTACATCAAGGATCAAACTTAAGCCCATATCTTTTTGCTTTGGTCATGGATATTCTCACTAGACATTTGCAAGAGGTTGTACCCTGGTGTATGTTTTTTTACTGATGATATTCTTCTTGTTGATAAGACTAGAGAGGGAGTTGAAGGTAAACTTGAATAATATAGAGTCTAAAGGCTTTCGTTTGAGTATATCTAAAACTGAATATATGGAGTGTAATTTTAATAATAATAGATCTAGTTGGAGGATTGTGACTTTGGACGATCAAGTCATTAAAAAGAACACATGTTTTAGATATCTTAGGTTTATTATTCAGAGTCATGGTGAAATAGATGGGGATATTATTAGTAGAATTCAAGTTGGACGGTTGAAGTGGAGGACTGCATCGGGCTTGTTATGTGATAGAAAAATCCCTCTCAAACTTAAGTGAAAATTCTATAAGATGGTAGTGAGACCTGCAATACTTTATGTGCAGAATGTTGGTCATTAAAAGAGAAGCATAATATTAAGTTAAGTATTGCAGAGATGAGGATGCTTAGTAGGATGAGTGGCTTTACGCTTAAAGACATGATACGACAGGAGCATATACGTGAAAAGATTTGAGTAGCTCCAATGGAAGATAAGATTAGAGAGAGTATCCTTAAATGGTTTGGTCACATAAAACGACAACATTCTGATGACCCGGTTAGGAAAGTAGATGTATTAGATTTGACTTACTTTAAAAAAGGTAGAGGAAGACCTGAAAAAGGCTTGGTTAGAAAATATTAGAAATGACATTTCTTTGTTAGATTTAGATGAGAATTCGACCATTAACAGGACACAATGGAGAAAAAGGATTCATGTAGCCAACCCCACATTTTAGTAAGATAAAGACTTGTTGTTGTTGTTGCCTTCATATACGTGTGTGTGTGTATATATATATATATATATTGTAGAGAGAGAGAAGAGAGAGATAGGAAGTGGGCTGTTATGGTAGGTGGAGATAAAGAAGGAGGTGGGCTGATTTGGGCTTGTAAGGTGAAGTGGAGATAGGCTGATTAAGGGGTTTAGGCTATTGGAAGTGGTTTAATGGGCTTATCGGATTAGAGTGTGGGTTTGTTGTTTGGGCTGAGATTTAGAGGTGAAATGAGTTGTAGTGGCTGTTTAGGGTGTGAAGGTGGGCTGCTTAAGATGTTGGCTTGTAGTGGGATGAACCGAGAAGAAGAGGAAGGGTTGGGATCGTGAATCTCTTTTGAGGATAGATCAGGTGAGGGGTGTGGAGATGGGGTCGGCATAACAGCTTGCTTGGACTGGTATTGATGTCGAGTGGAAGAGGAGGTAGAGGGCTCGACTGAGAGTGGGCTGCGGCAGGTTGGAGGAGATCGACTACAGCTGCTGGGTAGGAGGTCTGCAAAGTCGGATGAGGAAGTTCTGCTCTGTTGGATGTTGGGATTAGCGTGTGAGGAGTTCGATTGAAGGCAAGGAGGAGGGGCGTCGGGCTTGGTTGAGGTGAGCAAGAAACGGGGCTAGTGGTTCTGAAGTTCGGTAGAGGCTTGCGATTTGGTTTGAACAGCAGTTGGTGTGAGATCGGAGAGGGATGAAGATCACAAGACAGGTAGTTGGCTTCGGATCGTAGAGGAAGAAACAAACGAAGCTTGGTTTCGTTCTCATTTTAAAGCAACAAATAGGAGCACAATTGAGGCAGTCGTTGCAATATTTACACAGGAATTCCGGGTGGAGACCGTTCCGGCACCGATCTGTACGAGGTATGCGGGATTTGAGCAGGGTTTTCTGGTACGCATTCTGGCTTTTATGCGTAGGTCAACAAAATGATTGGAATAACATCCATTGAGGATAAGGGTGTTAAAAATAGACTTAGATGACCTAGGTGTGTACAACAAAAAGTAGAAAAATGACCTATTAGATTGGAAGATAAAACTAGGGTTGAAGAATTACAAGGAAAAAAATTTACACATAAGATAACAGGGATAACAGTTATTCAAAAAATCTTATGAACAATAAACTTGACCCCTCTAGCAGCACCACAACCAGAATGAAAATAAAATGAGAATTCATAGATGCAAGGATAAGGCTGATGATGATGATGAGAAACTAAAAAACTAGTCTTACAAGTATTACAAATGGACATTCTACAGAATATTCTGCTTAGATAACATATTCTCTAATTTTACTTGATGTTATTTACAGATATAACTTTTATAAATAAATGTATCATTCTGTGCATTTTACACTACAAACTTCCATAGTTAAGTAATCAATATTACCGATTTAATAGCCTTTATTAAAAAATTTCTTTGTTTTTCTAAGCTATAACATATACTTAAAAAATTTAAGTAATTTATCAAATCAATGAATTTGTTAGTGAAAATATGAAAGCTTATGGAAAAATGGGCACTATAGAATTAATTATTTTCTTTTTTTCCTAATTTTGGATGCAAAAATCTAGATTTTACGAATATCAGAGACTGAAATAAAATATAATGAATTATTTTTTAATCCAAACGCTTTTTTTTTTACATCCAGGCAAGATGGTAGTTTATCGGGAATCCTATTGGTAGCCAGTTTAATAGTGCTACTTGAGGCAAATAAGCTCCAGCAGAAGAATATGCATAGTGAATCAGATAATAACAAGGATAAACATTTTATAATAACAAATTGAATAAAGCTTCCAATGTTCCTCATGGATTAATAGCATATGTCCCAGGGCAATCCAGAGTATTTCATGGGAAAGAAAAAAAAAAGAAAATCATTTTAAACTTCGGCAGAACAATTACTGTGTTCAAAAAGATAATTTAAAAAGTTGGTAAATTCAAGAAAGAGGAGTCAAATTGATGAATTAGGACATCAAAAGTGTATATGTTCATTTCTTGTGGAAAAAAAAAGCTAGCAACCGACACTAACTCTCAAGGACAAAAAAAAAAACTCAATGGAGAGAAATAAGGTACAAACACTAGGAGCAACAAATAAGGTCAAAGGTCTAATGAAGAATGCAAGATATGGAAATAAGCACATACCTGGTGACAATAAAGATAACCTGCTCCAAGCCGAAATCTTAGGTCACAGAAGCGTATTTTATGCATGTCTACAGCTTTAAAGTTTGGTAAATTGGAAATATCCAAATTACCCAATAATTCCTTCTGTTTTTTCTTTAGTTCACCTGACATGATGAACTCCCACTTTTCTGAAGCCTCATTACGTCGGTTCTCAAGCCAATCAAATATAGGCTTACTATAATCAGTAGCAGAAGGGCTTCGGAGATCATTGCAAAAAGTTTCCTGCATGCGAAAAACCTGCATTTATAAATAACTTTCGGATATCTTAACGGCTAAATCGAATAACAAAAGGGAAAGATTGAACAGACTTCAATTAGGAAATAACTAGAAGCATCACATTTCTCTGCTGCCTCCATCAATTTATCCGTCAAGCAATAGATATTATCCCTCAATTCAGTTAGGTTCTGGCTTCCCAAGACTAAAAACTCTTGAACCTATAAGGGTTTTGAGAATGAAGCAAATGATTACATATAATTTAAATTAAAAATCAGAAATACAAAACATATAATGGGGATGTTTCCTTTAGGAAAAAAATCAACATTAAAACTTATTAGATGAAACAAAAGTGAAATATTCAAGTTTGTTGTTGTCATTTTAAAATTATGTCATTTACTTTGTCTACATGAAAAAAGCCCTTCTGGACAAGTCTGTTGTTTATTCAATCCAATTTTATAAATATTTGCTATCTCCCATTTGAAAATTTGAATGAATGAAATCTTATATTTCCTGTAGCCCTGATTTTTCAACAAATCTAATTCATTGTTTTTGCATGTGACATCTTCTTCCTCTCAGAGTGTCAAAAAGTAGTTTAAGAAAGCCAAAATCTTTTCCGAGGCTCTTACCCTATCATTTTCCTTGAGTCAGCCCCTTCTCCCATTTTAAAGTAGATCCTACAATTTTCTTCTTCCACTGCTAGCTTTCTAACTTTGTATTCACTGCTTTCTCTGAAATTCACCATTATTCTAAGTAAAACTCTATCAAAACTAAATGGAGATACAGAATGACAATTCTTCTAAAATTAAATTTGAAATCTGGTAAAATCATCAAAAATTACCAAAGCCAAAACTTCTTTGAAGAGTTCAAAAACATAACCTAGTTTGCAGACCTTCAAATTCTAACATATGATTTCTGATTATATCAATGGAGACAGATAATGACCGAGAACAAAATATCTCATTTTTCTGTTCAAACTTCTAAGAATGATCACTCATGTTCCAACTAGATGAAATGCAAGCAACTCATATTTTCTTACTGCAGCAAAAATATTGTAGAATGCCAGTATTAAGACATTTTTCAGTGATGAAAAGTTCAAGAGTGATGACTTGGCCCCTACATGGTAGCAATGGTTGCGCCACTATTTGCGTTTAGAAAGAGCTTTATTACCAAACAGTCTCTGCACCAAAAGCTCCATTGAATTGAAGAGCAATCCATCCATACTAAAATTACTCAATTAGAGACCCGCTTAAAGGCTAACACCTCAGTTGGGGTGAAGCATGCCTCAACACCATTTAACATAAATTTAAAAGGTGTGAGAACCCAAAATTAGGATTTAAGTAATAATTAAAATTTTAATTTATAAAATTTTAATATATAATTAAACATATTTATTATACATAAACCAAACCAAACCAAAATTAGAACTAACCGCACAACCTAAACCTCCCAGTCACAAGTTGCAAAGCCCTTATGCTCGTACACAGTTCCTGCTATGTCACCATCAATGCTTCTCCGCTACCGCTTCTCCTCTTACACCTCTCATCTTATTGTTGGAATCCATTTCCTTAAATTTAATATAAGGGAAAAGAAAAATCAAATAAATACAATGATGATTTTGATGAAGGTCCTCAATGCAATGAGATCTGGGGAATTTATAATTTATAAACTATAACATTAAATTATTTGTTTATGTTGAACTAGGTGTAGGAGAGACATTTTTTTTTAACATTGGTTATAGTTTTATTTAAATTAATAGCCTTACTTCAACTTTTTATGATTTTATTTTAACATCTAATTTTGATGTTAAAATGTTACTTATTATATCATATTTTTCATTAATTTATGATCTTACTTTGATGTCCACGGTATTATGGCATAATAAGACATCTCATTCAAGTTTCAGTAACAACCTTAGATGGTCTTAAATGTAAAGTAGTACAAGCCTTACACTACAATAGTTTGGTCCATGCAATTAATCTAATTTGCTCTGATCCAGTTAGCAGTGGCTATATGGCAACCCATATTTTAGATGATGAAGTTTGTAAGATAATCCAGTCGGAGGCTAGGCAACAAGCATTGTTAACATTGCTAAATAACCAAGGTTTTAGGTTAGCAATACACAAAAAGAAAATAAAATTCAACTGGATGATTCAGTTAACATTGCAAAATAACCAAGGTTCTAGGTTAGCAATACACAAAAAGAGACACAATCATTTTTTACGTTATTAACAGACAACACACACACACAAACACACATATATATATATAGACAGATAATTCGCCCTTATGACACATAGTCTTCTAAATTCCATCATCAGAGGGTACAGTTAAATAATGTTGATAAGAGGCACAGGGCAATCGATACTACTTCAATTCAAGAGTCAAGTGGTGAACATGTCTATATAACAGCTGATACTATGGTAGATAACAATATTGTGAACGATCAACTTCAAATAATCACGCCAGCATGACTTTACTACTGTTGAAGTTGTTGACCAAAGGTGTCAATTTAGATTGGGGAGTGAGGTTCGGGTCTGACTAGAATTCGACAAGATTTGAACATACTTGACATAAACCTAACTCATTAATTATATGGATCAAAACATTCAACCGAAACCTGACACGACCCAAACCTAACCCTAACCCAACAATTTAACCCATTTATTATATAGATCATGCTTTTTTTTTTGGATAAACACAACCCATTTAACTTGAATACGACCTCTTTAACATGAATACCACCTATTTAACCTAAACTCAACCGCAACCCATGTAATGCAAACCCACATAGTAATTGAGTCAATTTCAATTTCAAGCCAACCTGAACTTGACCTGAAATTTATTAGGTCAAAATTTGAGGCTTGAACTCGACTTTAACTGTCAACCCAAATCGGAATTTTTCAAGTAGAGTTCTTGTTGGGTTGTTAAGTCGAATCATTTATTAGCATCTCTACTATTAACATAATATTGATGACAACAATAACAACATCATCAAGCCATTATCTCACTACTTTGGATCAGCTACATGAATCCTTTTTCTCTATTGTGGCATGTTAATGGTCAAATTCTCATTTAAATCTAATAAAGAAATGTCATTTCTAATATTTTCTAACCAAGTCTTTTTAGGTCTACCTCTACCTTTCTTAACATAAGCCAAATCCAATACATCTACTCTCCTAACTAAGACATAAGAAGGCCTTGGTTTTATGCAACCAAACAAAATAAGTCGACTCCCTTGAATCTTATCTTCCATTGGAGCTACTCCAACCTTTTCATATATATGCTCATTTCGTATCGCGTCTCTAAGAGTAAAGCCACTCATCCACCTAAGCATCCATAATATTGACGAATAATTTTTTTTTTCATTGTAGCTGACCAACTTAAGAATGAGATGTAGACATATGTTTGGTAGTCTTGAAGTTAACTTATAATAAACGATGGAATATTTTTTTATAAATCTAAGAGTAGGTATGATATTTTCAAACAAAAATGGACTTTAATGTTCATTAAATGGTTGTTCAATCATTAAAAATGATGAATATCTGAAAAAATATATATATCAAATAATAAAAGTTTATGCTTAAGTGTGTGCGCCATGATGCCCCTTAAGAACATGCCCTTAGTGCCTACATGAATCAAAGAATCACTGATTTAGTGGCCCCCGAAAATTTCTACCAGTGAAAGCCCTCACACCTATGCTCATCTGATTATGAAGGCCAACCATCATAACTTGACCGCTAAATTTAAGTCATTACTCTTCAACAAAAAAAATTACTTAATCACTATATCTAGAACTGATGTGATGTAGAACAGATGGGGTGGGGGAAAATTTTTAAAATTGAAATTAAAATTAAAAGAGAAAAAAAGGGGGCTGGTTAATTAAATCCCATAATAGGATATCCAATTAAGGAATTAAATAACTAAGGGGGGAGGGCCGGCGGCATTAATAGGGACTTGAGAGTTTATGGAGAGAGATTTAAATTCTTGCCAAGTGGGAAACCTTAAATTAGGGAGGAATATTTAAATCAAATCCTATTTGAATTTGAAATAGATTTGATTTGAATACTTTCCTAAAATAAGATAACTAAATTAGAGAAAATATTTGAAAATTGAATACATTTGAATTTAAATTCAAATGCTTTCCATATTAAAACACATCCACAACAGGAAAGAAGGATATCAAGCAAGATTTGACTCCAATCAAGAGCAACGGTAGAAGGGCCGGCGGGTAGAGAGAGAAGTGACCAGTTATGGGAGGAAAGGAAAAGGAAATTAATCAAGTCTTCAATTAAGGGGGAAATGATTTAACCAAATACAATCCAAATTGATAGGAATTTGATTTGAAGAACTTTCCAAAAATAGATCTAGTAATTTAGGAAAGGTTTTGAATTTCAAACTAATTGGATTTGAATTCAAAATTCTTTTCAAATTATCTTCAACATAATTTAGGAAAATGAAGGGGAATGAAGGAGGGAAGAGGCTAGGGGTGAGGTGGTCGGCTGGCTACGGAGGTAGAGGGGTTTATGGTCAGCAGTTGATATGGATAAAGTGGACGAGGCTTGTGGCTTTGGAGGGGTTTGTGGGAGAATCGGCCGGTGGCAAGTGGGGGATTACAGCCGGCGGTCAAGGGAGGAGGAGAAAAGGATTTAGGAAAAAAAAGATACAACCGTGAGCCCAGACACATCCTGCAACTGACAGGTAATACGTTGTCCTTCTCCAAGGGGCTTCAAGACACAAGCCCGAACCCATCCTGCAGCTGGTGGAAGCTCCGATTCCATCTCATAGAAATTGTTGATATAGTTGCTACTTAGTTTTGCATGTTTGACATTTTTGCAACTTGTATATCTTTTATGATTCCAAATATTATTGTTTTGATTATTATTTTCTCCTAACACATTTTAGAAGAATTCTTTTTGCTCTTGTGTGTATTAACATTTCAGGAAAATCATAATTCAGAATGTTGATGACTTCAAATCAAGATCAGCTTAGAGTGTAGTGTAAATTGAAGTCTGTATTTTTCATTTTATTAAGTCTGAGAGAGTGTGATTGTAATTGAGTAATTGAGCACACACACACCAGGGAGAGTTTTAAAATTCACATTTTAAAAAATGATCGTACTATATGATACTTGTTCGTACGGGACGATTTGGTTAGTTATTTTTCCCAATGAGCAATGGAACGAGCAGGAATGGCAAAAATTTTTCTAAATAAAGATCAT